AACTACGTAACTTGGATCCATTCAAAATTGCTGATAAAGATGACCGGCTGTGTAGAGATTGTGGGGAGACTTCTCTCTCTCTCTCTCTCCATCGCCCTCTCCAGGAGATTGGTAGGACACTTGACTAGAACATTATTCCAGGTCATACCCCACGTATAACATGTTATACCCCCTATACCCAAACAAGAGAATTATTTCACCATAAATATTCGAGAAAACATATTCCACTAACAGACCGCAGCGTGGTATACTGCTGAGAGCGCATGCGCACGCGCAGCCCATGCCCTCACCAGTTGCACGCCTCCTTCACCAGCACTCCCGAGCCATCGTCCGAAGTCCTCTTCACCTCGGGGCCCTGGAGTAGGCGATCGCCCCCTGCCGCGATGGATGCTGCAACGCTTCACATCGTCAGGTCAAGCTGGATGGGCCTTTGGCTGATCTAGGTCCGGTGGCGAAGGAAGAACACACGCTTTCCTCTTCGAAACTGCGATCTTCATCGATCTTCTGGGAGTCCAGCATTCATCACGGTGTAGCTCTTGGATTGTGAGATCATGCAACATGGTTCTACATGGTGCTACCTCATCGTGGCCTGGTGTGCTGAAATCTCCAGGTAAAACCCTCCTGCTCCCCACGCCTTTGCTCCAGTTGAACAAGGCACCATCCGCCATGGAGGCCAAGCCAGCAGCGGTGAAGCGGCCCGGATCCACCAACAGCTCCTAAATTGCTTCAGCCAGCGGATAGGGTCGGGCTGGGTCGGGCTCGAGTGGTCGCACAAATGAGAGGAGAAGCAGGATACCCGAGTGAAGCAAACATCCATAGAATCTATATGTTATTCTTTAAGCTGATTTCACATTTGACATATATATATATATATCGTCAATATGTGAACATAAACGTTAGGCCCTAAGGCGATAGAAAATCACCCATGGCCCAGAACTGCAAGTAAGCTTTTGTTAGAATGATTCTAACCCAAACTCACAGGCACGGTACCGAAATGGTGGGAATCTTGACCAATTTCACCTAAGGTTCTTGGATTGAAACAACTCCTAGCACTATCAGCAATCCCGAAGAAATGGATCTCGGAATGCCACCCTGTTTGATGCTAGCAGGGCTTTGGTATCATATACGATTGGCAACCATCAATCATCTGCAGCTCACTGTCCCAAGTGGTTCTCCTCTTCTTGTTCCTGTTGGTGGTGGTAGGAGTACAAGTAGGAATAGTAGACACTACGAGCACTCGTTCTTGGTGGTAGTGGAAGCAAACGCAGAAGCAACACATGTTCCAGCGAGTCCTGCAATTTGTCATCCCACTTCTTGCTGACCATAACCGTCACTTCGCACATGCCTCACAGCTAGTGGGTTCAACACATTTGCGACATTTTGCGACACGGTTGGCCAACGGCATTGATGACTGCACTTGAGAATGATAAGAGATAAGTTCCAGGAACTGCTCGATCAGCTACCACTCATGCCGATGCGCAACTGTCTGGATCTGACAGCTGTTTTTTACAGCCTGATTCGCAAGGGAGGGACCCCATCTTCTGTGCATCCCGTAGGAGCTCGAAGCCGCAAAGCCTGGGTCTGGGATCAGGTGGAGAAGGTGTGAGAAAGTGGAAACCTGCTCTTTAACATGCTCAGTCGGAAACTTTATAATAATTGGACCTGGTGACCTACAGTATGTTTAACATATGGACCATATTGAACACCTCTTCTGCCAGTGAATGCTCAGTCGGATCCGCTTCGAGGAACCGCCACCGGGCCGAAGTGATCTGAATCACCACCGGTCGGTCTCGCTTCCCTGAAAGATGCTTTCCTCACAAAACGAGGGGCTTAAAAATTGCTTTGTTTTTGCGGGGATGGAGGGATATCCAGAGTCTAAGGTATGGTAGATGGAGTATCAGTATGAAGTCTGAGGAACCACTCCAAGATAAACTTCCCCCCTTTTCGGACGTGTCCTTTGGGTGCCAGGATCAATGAAATTGCAGTCCAAAGGGTTCAGGCTGCCATTGATTGCCCCATCATATTTATTGCTCCATATTTTTCGGACATATAGCACAGAAAATGCCCAAAGCTGCATTGGATGATGTGAACTGATCAACTAATGCAATTCAGAGGGCAGTCCGGGCTATCGTAGCTTCAATTCAAACGTTTGTCGCTGATGATATGTGTCAACCATCGGTGTGTGGGGGGGAAACTGAACGTCTCGTTCACTTTGGTATAGACGAGGATCAATGCCACCTGGCCCGAGGGCACTTTGAGCTCGTTGGACAAGCGCAGGCGGAGTTGTTGCACGGTCTCCTGAGCGTGAGAGTTCACTTCATACCCCTAAGGCTCCAACCACCTCCTGAGAAGATGGTTATGGGTGCCAGGGGGGCTAAGCACCTTCTGGGGGTATGGTTGGAGCCGTACTTGATGCTCCTCAAACGGGGAGGGTGCCCCACATCCGGTGGTCCCGCATCCAGACCACCCTCTTCCGAGGTCCTTGTCAGACAGCTGAAGCTATTCCCTCTGGGATCTGCATTTCTACTAACCATGCCGGAATTAGCTCATGGAGCTTATTCCATAGGAAATTTTATGAACTACCTATGTGAATCATAGCAATACCATTCTTCGATACACCAAACCACTCCTTGGTGTGCCACTCCACTTTGGCTTGACTGATGGGGTCAAACACTCAATCTGCCAGCAACAGGTTTGGGCGGTGCGGAGGTCCGATTCTGTGGGGTCGCTGAGGTGAACCCTGCCGTTGAAAAAAGAAACGCACCACCTGCACTGCCCTTTGATCCATTCACCGTCCTATGTGAACCTCTTGTGGGTCTGCACACCTCATGAATGCAGCGCGCCCGGCACTCGCCCCACACTTGGGCCGGGCGTCGTTTTCGAAGACTGGCGAGGGCAATGGAATTTCTGCGCCACCTCATCTTGGACAGGTTGGACACGTCGAGGGCGCATCCAGACCAAAGCCATGTTGGAGGAAAGTCCAGAATTCAGGACACCTACTGTAACAGCCGAGCACCGGCGAAGCGGAGGGACAGGGACTGGAGAGGTCTCTGTCAAGCCATGTGGCGGTCATGGCACCAGGAGACCGACCGGTTGATCCACCGTGAAATTTCGTTCGACCTGGTGGACTGGTCGGGCTCCAGGTTATGACCCATGCCCATGTTGGGTCGAGAAAAGTTCAGATTTGGAACCCCAGAACTCCAAGGGGTGGGACTTCGGCGCTGGCTCTCGCACTCTCGATTCCCACTCTCGATGTAGCAAGGACTCCAGAAGAACATCCCACAAGATCTGGTAACCCACAAAACGACTCCTTCGAACTGTGAACCGACTCCAGCCACTACATTTGGAGTTTCTGGAAGAGGCCGGATCGCTCCAAACATGGGCGAAACGATCCCAAATCCACCCACACCAGGCACCGTGCGGCTCCTCTTCCAAATCGACCACCGCGGGAGCAACTGACCCGAAAGGATCCCATGGAAGCACCCAGGGGCGAGCCAAGCAAACTGAAGCGGCCCAAAACAGGGCTTTCTGAGATGACAACCCTTAACCATTGAAAAGTGAAGCGCTAGTTAGTTGAACTGCGTTCATATATGTATACAACATATAAGATAGTATGGTGGATCAAAAGGATGTCTATATGTTGAAGAAAACAATCATCACCAAGAATGGCTTACCAAGAGGGGCTAGCATTATAGCTGAATTCTCTGTGCGGCACCACAGTAAGCAACGGATTGACCTGCAAAGTGCGTATACAAAAGGACTGTTGCTGAGTCAAATGCGCTGTTTGGCTAGTACAAACTATTGGACATCACAGCCAAACACATGCAACAATCGGGATGATGTCCATCGAAAATTGTGGTATCATCCTTCTGCTTTAACTTGAAGGCTTAGCATGAGCAAGTTCTGCTCACACTCAAAATGCATGGATAGTATGTTAGTGAGATTCAGCCTTAAATTTTCAAGGGGGGACTTCCACTCTTCCCTTTCAGAACGAGGAGAGCAACGCAACCCAATGGCTATCGTGGTCCGGCCTCGAACAATTGTGATTGATTATAGAATCCGTTGTATTAAGCAGGTTGTTGAAAGGTGTAAAGCTAGTTTGGTGTCTTGTTCCACTTGACTTTGTGACTCTATGCATCCATGGTTGAACAAGTCATTCCACCAACTGGGACAACCGACCACCGATCCAGCAAGTCGTCCTCGTCGTCGTAGCAATCCATTCAACTGGCACCAACATGTCCCATTGGTACGGCTCAAATCGTAGCGACTCTGATCATCTCCGATGGCGCGCACCTCTCTTCGAACCCTCACGACGGCGTGCACCCTTCGCGTTCGCTTTGGCCCAGGAACTGACCAAAGTAATGGCCATCTTCATCTCTTTCCCCGCATCGCCCATCTTCGGATGCACTGAAGTGACGCACTGAAGTGACGGCTTCGTCTTCTTCTCCGGTGCTGAGCCAAATGATGGACAGGCGCTATGGCATACTTGACCCTGTGAGGGGATGGTTTCGGGGTGTTCTTCAGAGGGTTCACGTGATCCGCCTTTCTTCACAAACGTCCCACGACTGGGACGCCAATCAAACCCAATCAGTCCAGCATGGTACAAGTGACAAATGCAGACTGTCCAGGTAGGATCTTCTCTTCTTCCACCTCCCAGCCCAACCTGGATGATCCTTCATTGAAATCTGAAATGCAGCCGCCAAGAAACAAATCATGTGGACAGCAAACATTTCAGCACTTCTGCCAGCTCACTAGCAAACCTCTATATACTATACTCTTTCATGCACGAGCATAGTAAAGCGTCATAGAAATCTCTTTGTCCCTCTGCAACCTTCCACACCGAACCCTAAACTTTCCCCCAAAAAATCCAACCTAGCCACCATCTTGTTGCCACCTTTCCAAACCTTTTCTCCACCCCTTGGGCAAGATCTTTAGAGCTCTCCCTCCGAGCCACCCTCCGAGCTCAGCCCGTCACCGAACCCGCAGAACGCCCCGCGGTCCTTCAACCCCCCCACCCCGCGGTTTCCCGGGGTTCGGAAGAGCCGGGGCCGGGCGGGACTGGCGAGCGAAGAATGGTTTCAGTGGGTTCCAAGGGGTTCCAAGTAGGTGATCGGATGGCGATCTACCTGTCTATAAGGTGTTCTATAAGGTGTTCTATAAGGTGAATGTCAAATGTGGCAGTTTCACCCTGGTCCTGGATCCAGTGATGTTGAATACCAACATTATATTACATTGCTTTGAGGGGTCCAAGACAGGGCAGCCATCCAAGCCAAGCTCCAAAGTCTTGAGGTGTACGCTTTAGGTACAGTCTTTTTTGTGATCCTGCGTCCTTGGAGTAGATAGATGATAAAATATGGAAACTCCAAACCAATAGGAGACGGGTCTTGTTTTAAAGCAAAAGTTGCTTTTTGGATATCGAGTGATGCTTCATAGGTGCATGCAGGAACAAACACTTGACGGTCAAGCCCCTCATCTTGACTGATGATCAAAACACATCCATCAAAATGGTTTTATACCATCGTACACATCTTTATCTTGTTATATTCATCAACAGTCAAGCCCCCAAAGCATCGTTGAAATGGCCTTAGTTGGGCCTCGTCCAAACTGATACATCCAATCGTCCACTCACAGAATCTCCGAAGACCATTTGCATACGACCATGAGTTGTTGTGGTTTCATCAGGCTTCGTGACATCCCTTCAAAATAGAATACATACATGTTGACCCTGTCTGAGCCCTATCACCCACAAGACCAACTCGAGTTGGTCTTGCTGCCAAGTTGTCTGGTTCATGCGCCCGACTCGTTCCACCCGCAACTGATCTCTCTGGCTAAAATCTCGAGTCGCAGCTCTTCTGCCTCAACTGAGCTCGGAATCGTCGTACCCGAAAACCCTCGATGGGAATGGCGCAAACCAGGTGCATTCGTTTGGTATGTCAAATGTTGGTGGCTAACCTTGATCTCACCTTATTGCTTTGCAAAGCTCAGCAAATCCGAGGACCTAGGAGGCTCCCATGTCCATCCTATAGCAATCAATCCAAACGTATCATTCGCATTCATTTGCCCAGTGTCCGCCTGGAAAGCCCCTCTTGGAAGGGTTTTGACAAACTCCTGCACTTATGGCTGTCTTCGGGATTTGAGGCACAGTTCTGAGAGGGTGCGCACTTCAAAGAACATGGTTGCACAAGGAGTCCATACTGATGCCATACTGACCCATGCATCCTTGAGGGTTGTGATCCATCCCGGTGGTCGGATACAAGACAAAATGGGTGTGTATATGTATACAGTATATATATATATATTTATGCAATATACAATTATATACCCTAGAAGTCAAACCATCATCTAATTAATAGCCTTTACCAACAAAAACATGTCCGACAAAGGGTTTTACACTACATAACCAGATCAACCATTTTTAGAATGGTCTTTGACTTCCAGGGTAGTTATAAATATGTCACGATTTGGGAACATAGTTTGTTGGCCTTCTTCTTGAAAATATATTGTCCTCTGTCCCGATGAATGAGACAGTAACACGATCTTTCTACACATTCCGTTGAAAACACTCGCGTGCCAAATGGGCCAGGATTAAGTTTCTATGACAAAGTCCAGCACACTTTGTTTGCCTACAACACTTGCGGATTACTTGAGGAACTGAGCAGCACCATCCAGCAACGGTCCGAAAGCCATATGCAAAGTAGTCACCTGTCACCTGTCTGACTAATTAAATCGTACTCACCTTCAACCATCCAAACACATATATATAATATATATATATATGCATATATACATATATTACTACATGTGCAAATCAAGTAAGACCGTTCACCAACAGCTCCCTCACTTACATCAGATTCGTTGTCTAGGCCCAGCAACTGCTAAAGAAGAAGTTGCTTGAAGAGACAAACCTCAACTTATCCCTGAACCCTCCACAGGAACCCTCCTTTCTCGGGGTGGAGTCCAGGACTCTAAATCCTCTTCGCCGAAACAGTTCGCTTCGCTTCGCCCACCGCTTCGCCATCCAGCCATCCGCGGCCAGCAGATCGTCGGACCTCCTTCTTCTTGTCAGCAAGATAAGGAGAAACCTCGAGGCGCCTGACATGTCTTGTTGCACGCAGTTCTCCACTCCCCTGGTCCAGGGGCAAGCGGCTAAGGGTCACCAGGTCTCCACCAGATGTAAGATATGCTGGAATTGGCTGGAGTAGGGTTTGACTCCTTGTGGCTCAAGCTACACACTCTCCCGAATTGGATCTGCCGAAAGACACGTGAACTGCCACAATTCACGTTTCAGGTAAGGCAAACGAACAAAAATGCATTGTAGGGTGGCACAGGCCTAGGGCATCTGTTCAATTAAACAGCTTGTTGCAGCAGAAAGAGGTCCGCACTGCAAACACCTGTGCAAACAATCGAGCTACCAAAATGGCCCTTTCAGAATCTCTCAGCATGTGTTTGGCCGTGGAAGTAGAAATGCCACATGAAATCACCAAACAGTTGTTTAGAGCCTAATGGGCTCAAAAGTTGCTTTCGCCACAATCTCTGCGCACGCTGTATAAATGTTGGAGGTCCCAAGAACATAACATTGCAAAGGAACCGCCTGCTTCTATCAAGCCAATAGGGCATGTATAGATGTGAAGCCTGCATTCTTTCTTCCACGACAAGATTGGAGGTCAATTACGGTAAGGGGGTTGCCGATCCGATTGGGAAACACTTTTCCTGGATATAGATTTAGAAGGACCAGGACGTTGTCACCAACAGACTGCCCTGTATTGCTTATGGGTTTCTTTTGACCAACCGCTTGGATGGTCCAGGGATTGATTTTTCTTATCTACTTCCGAGTCCAAGTCTGCAGCCTCCAGCAGCTTTTTGCGCCCTTTCTCAGACTCAACTCCTTTGGAGCCAAGTCTATTCTCATAGGGCTGGCGGAGTCCCAAGCCTACTCTGGCCACAGGAGAGTATGAGACTGTCTCCTTGCATCCTTGGCTCCAAGTGAACTATCTTTTTTTTGTGTTGTTCTCAGTTGTTCTCCATTGAGGTGTCAACACTATTCAGAAACAACACATGGAGGGCTTCTAACTGTCCAGTTGTCGAGGTTTCGTTCTGGACCGCTCAACAGGTTAAACACCGGTGTGATGCCTGGGGCGCCCGCCAACACCTATGGAAAACACGTTCTGTGAGACCCGGCGATGTTCCATGGCCCCAGCTTCAGTAGCAGTGGAGGCTTCAATCGGCAGCGGAGAGATCCAATTTGACCGTCTTACTTACCCGATCATGAACAACATCTTAGTGTCAGTTGCCAGCGATAGGTGATCCTCAAGGAGGACGACTGGGTTCCATGAGCACAAAGGATTGACAAAGCGAAGACAAATTCTCTAACTCTAACAGGATCAATTCTTGAGTCACTGACATACATACCCCTACCAAATGATTGGCCTGTGAATTCCTAGTTCATCTTCGATGCTCACTGCTAATGAAGCTGGATTCCACCTGTCCCGCCGTTGCCCTGCTGCCCCAACGGTTGAGCTGGACAGTGCAGCTCTACAAATGCGGGTTGGGAAACAGCATCAGTTCGCCGAGATCAACAAGATATGATTATCAATGAGTGGAGCTAAAGGAACCAACACAGTAGTGGAAGTGTGCTTCGGAATCTGACTCAAGTGGGTGTTGTCTCCAAATCAACCACGTTTAATCTGCATTTCCACCACTTGGCGGGACATGTGCCACCCTGCCATCTGGACGAAGCCTGATGACAAGGATGTCCATATAAATGAAGTGATGACATCGATGACCAGCAATTGTTCTCCCCAGAAAAAAGGCATACTTCATTGTACTTCCAGTTCGGGTTGCCTGGTGTGCAAGATTTTTGCTAAAGCAAGCATGAGCGAGAGTTGATTGAGACACGTTTAGACTTCCAAAGTCATAGTACCTATCCTCCAGCACCATAAATCATGTATGGCGGACCATGGGGACCTACTCGATGGAGGCATACACCAGTGGTAGAATTTATTCCTAGGGCCTAGTGCCAAGCAACTGTGTCTCTAGCTCAACTTGCATTTCACTACAGTCCTGCTAGGAATTCGGAGTCATAACGATGGACATCTTAGCACCCCACGCTTTCATCAGGGAGAACGTGCGACGGGTCATCTGGACATCTCCAGCACCACAGGTCCGCGAGACACGACTTCGCCGTCTCCGTCGGACTCCGCCACAAAGGTCCGCATGCGCTCGGTCATCTCCTCACCGTCCGCCGTCACCGGGTAATCCAGAAGCACCACGCGATCACCATCGATGGGCCTGAAGAAAGGAGTGAAGTGATTGTGGAGACTCCGGAGACTCCCTAAATGACCCTGTATGATAAAAGATCAGGACGATAGCTTAGTAGTTGGCGCTTCCCATTGACAACAATGACGACCATGGAGTGCGTCCGTGCCGGGAAACCATCTAAATTGCATGGAATATGATGGGATAATATCTATTTTTATATTTTTTAATTAATTTGTATATTTTACTATATATATATGGACTCATGACTCATATGATATGGATGTACATCTCCGCCTGTTTGTGTAGATCCTCTGGAGAATCCCTGCCATGTGGGGACCCTCCAACCCGAATCGGCACTTGAGCTTTACCGGTGGTGAATGCATGTTTGGCACCTTACCACCGGGGACAATCCAACAGTTCCTTGCTTGATGTCCAGTCTGAGTGCTGAAACACACAAAAATTTATCAAAAAACACCATCGAAATAATTTGCGGGCGGTCAGACCCGGCAAAGGTTGCTAATTAAATTGGCCATGACACCTGCGAGCCCCAAATCGAGTGGCACACCAATGTGTGCAAGGCAGCATGCCCGGTACAGTTTGTAATTCTAAATGTACACATATGATATACTGCAACCCCCCGTGATACCTATATGTTGTAGCCAGCTGCATGGCAAGTTGTTGTGATTACTTTTGTGTGTTGGGTTGAGGTGTCGCAGAGTTCAGCCTGCAGCTTGCCAACCTTCTCAATACCATATTCTAATGTTCCACTAGTGTCCATTGAATTGGTACGTTTTAGTTGTTTTGGCCAAGCCTTCTGCAAGCTGAGCATTGGGCT